AATTGGCTTGCCTGCGACGAGCTCGGTACGGTATGTTCCGGCCGGGCTCGGCACCCCTAGGACAGCCAAAGGAGGAGTTCTGCTCGTCCAGCTCGACCCAGTGCACAGCTGACCACGTAGTCCATTGTCTAGAATTCTAGAATACAGAAGAAAATAAAAGATAGACCAGAATAAATAAGAGAATAAAAAGAAAGAAAGAAATGTAGGTTTGGTAGCCTATTATTCAAAAAACGTTCTTTGGCATTACCGGGGGTTATCAGGGGAAAAACTTTTTGTTTAGTATCGATTTTCATAACATAATGGGGGTAATTTTACATAGTTTTTATCATTTCTAGATGGTGGGGTTTTAAAACTTTGTGAAAAAATTTAAAAAATATTGATTTTTCGACAAAAAGGTTGCCGTCTGGTAAACTTTTAAAATTTGAACTTTTCAAACTTTCTAAGGTTTTCTGGTTAGTTTTACACTTGAAATAGGGCTAGATTTTCCTAAAAACACGATAGAATACGCATTATTACGTCACTACGAATTTTTGGACTTATAATTATAAAGAGATTCGCCCCCGACCCCCCGACATTACAAAAGCCCCGAAAAATAACATCATGCGGCATGTTCAGACATTTTTTTTAATCAGAGAGTAAACTCAGGCGCCATAACATTTTTCGAGACATTTTGGGTGCTATTTTAGGCACACTGTAATTTGATTGGCGACGTAGGGGCCACTTTTTGAGGGGCAGGAAAAGCGCTGACGACAATCGCCAATTAGCTAAACACAGCAGGAGTGGCGGGTTTTCGTAGCGAACGATTTTACGGTTCGGTTCCTAGGGGGTTCCCCAATGTTCTCTGCTCGTTGGCCCCGTAAAAAGGGTCAAAAAACGCCGGTTTTCAGCCGTCTACGCGTCAAGAATCGTAGCGTTATACCGAAACTATAAACCAAATCAATGGCAGAGCTAGACTTTCGGCAATCGGGGTCCCAGTTTCTTGATTGGGATACGGTGGCCCGGGTCCCCAAGGGTCCCGACACGATTGGTCGCCGCCAAAAAATGGATCGTTGCCTGGGGAGACCGGGCGGCCGACCTGTCGCCGGTCATTCCATCCGCAAATTAGGTAATTGCCGGTCGATGGGCCGCTAAAGTTAAAGAAATCCCGTGGTTAGAAGCGAACGCGAGCGGCAGAATCACTTTTTCAAGAATTCCGTGCAGAACAGGGTCGTTTGGAAGGGAGCGGAAACCAGAAAAATTTGCGGCCCGGGATTTATACAAATTGATCTGGTTTTTAATCGAGCAATTTCCTATCCTATAAGCGAGAAAAGTATGTTTGGTTTTCTGTACGGCCGTTTTCTCGGCCGTCAGGCCGCGTTTCGAGCTGATTTTTGGCATGGGGGTGGGAAATGCCATTTATAAAAAACGGTTTTTTGGTGGTTTGAAATTCTTCCATTTAACGATTTTACATGCAAAAATGTGACAAATCCTTAACATTTTTTTGGGCGCGGACCAGTTGTCCGGAACTTTTCTCGGTGCCTAGAGGGAATTGCGGCCTCATTTTTCGGGGGTAGATGGAAAAAGGAATTGCCCAGATAACTCTTTTCGGATTTTGCAAAAAACTTCAAGATAAAGTTTTTATGTGGATTTTTCTGAAAGGTCCTTAATAAATCGCGGAACGGGCCGTGGTGTCCAGGTCATAACTCGACGCCTTGATGGAATTCCGGGCTGAAATTTGGATCGTTTGTGCAATCAAGGGTGGGGATCATGCGCATCTTATTATCTTTGCAAATTTTCGACAGATTCAAACTCAAAAATAGAATTTTGTAAAGTGACCAGAAGGCCTGTCTCCGGGAAGATTGGTCACCCTTATCTTTGCCTCGCCTCCCCAGGACAGACAGCTTTCCGCCGCCTCCTCCCATCTGCCCCTTGGTGTAGTGGATTAGCGCTCGGTCTACCACGGGTAAGGTCATTAGTTCGGATCCCTGGGGAATTTAATTTTTTGCTTTTTGGTGGTTCGGCAACAAAACATATTTCGAAGCTCTCAGTGTGGGAGATTTAGAATTGGGAAAATCCAATCCAATTCTGCCAGAAAATCCAATCTGAATTCATGGTTCCTGGACGAGGTCCAGTGGAAAAGGGCCGCGAAGCGGTCTTTTCCACTGGTATTAGGATAGGGCAGAAAGATATCCTACGTTATATCAAAAAATGCGGCCTACGGACAGTGAAATCCCAGCCCGTAAAACAATAGAACCTGAGAAACCTCCCCGAACAGCCCCAATTTCCGGGTGCAAACCATAGTCAGCCGACGCCCATCGGAAATTAGCCATGCCTAAAGACGCCCCCCCTCCGGGACATTCCGGCTACCGTAGGCCCCGCTCTAGAAAACCGGGGCACAAAATAGAAAACTTCTGCGACGCAAGCAGACGCCCGAAATGGGAGCGAAAAGCCCGCCATAAATGGCTTGTCGGCCATAAGCTGGAAATTAAGTGCGGCCGGGGAGGGCTCTAGAGTCTAGAGCCCGCGCAAACAGTCGCAAATTGTTTTGTTGTTGGAGTCGCACTTTTGAAGTAAATACTTAGCGGTCAGGCTGTAAGTATGCACTTCTAATGGTTAGATTATAGAGGTTTGGATCCATTTGTAAAGGTAATAAAAGCTGGGCGCAAGTGTTGGCGCCCCTCGGACGCCATAATTCAAATCCGGGAGGTGATTCAGAAAAGAAGAGCAGGAGAAACCTTTTGGGGGGCAGATTAACGTGGGTAGGAGCAGATAGAGAAGCCGAAACTAAGTTAAGCTTAAGCTAAGCCTAAGCTAAGCCTAAGCTAAGTCTAAACCAAGCGCAAGCCAAGCCTAAGCCAAGCCTAAGCCAAGCCTAAGCCAACGCTAAGGCTAAGCCTAGCCTAAGCCAAGCCCAACCAAGCTTCAGCCAAGCCTAAGTCAAGTCTAGGCAAGCTTAAGCCAAACCTAAGCCATGCCTAAGCCATGCCTAAGTCAGGCCTGAGCCAAGCCAAAGCCAAGCCAAAGTCAAGCCTAAACCAAGCCTAAACCATGCCTAAAAGCCGAGCTTAAGTCAAGCTTAAGCCAAACCTAAGCCAAGCCTACGCCAATCCTAAGCCAATCCTAAGCCGAGCCTAAGCCAAAGCTTGCAGGCGGACATAACCTAAGATAATCTGAAAAATATTGATTTAACGGGCATCCAGATAATATATTCAAGCGCAAAACCGCGAAGTCAGCTGTGCCAGGTGAACCTCCATCCAATAGCCGCAAAAAATAATTTCCAGCAAAAAAAAACGCGAGGCCTAGCCGCGGGGCCCAAATGAAATCACTCCACTAGTCACCGGCCGGGTTTTTGGAATCCATTTTCCACGATCCGTTTATGGCGGTGGGAACGGGACATGTGATTCCCAAATAAGAAAAGTAACCATTGAGTACTACAGCATGAGAAAGGGTGCGTGGCTTCGAGAAGTTTAGGACTACGTTGAGCGTCGTTACAAAAAAAAGAACGAGAAGCGGGTAGGCGCAAAGGGATATTAAGGGGATGCCGAATTTCGATAATGCCTACTTTCAAAAATATCGAAATTTTATAATGCCGAAATATCGCACTGCCGCATTTTTGTAATACCAAAATTCCACGCTTTTTTGCGAAAACGAATTCATGTAATGCTGAATTTCTAAATGCCAAATTTAATGTCGAAACGGGATAATGCCGAATTTCAAAGCACCGAATTTTTACAATGCTAAACGCCGTACCGCCGAATTTTTGCCATACAGACTACTGGCAATGCCGACTCTAATGTCGAAATGTCATAACGCCGAACCTTGATAGTGCCCAACTTTCATAAAGCCGAATTTTTGTAAGACCGAATTCTCATAATGCCGAATGCTGAGCATGCCGTATTTTTTGGTATTTTCAGTGTGATACAAATTCGCCGTTATCAGCTTTCGGGATTTTAATAATTTGGCGAGATGCAATTCTACCTTATCTAATGTAAATCTATATTATGACATTTCGGCAATATGACCCTTTGGCGTTCTGGCTTTTCGGCATCGCGAAATTTCGGCATTAGGACACTACGGGATTCTGATTTTTCGGCATTATGAAATTCGGGATCACGAAGCGGAATAATAAGATTAGGTATTATGCAAAGCCGGCGTTCTGATCTTTTGGAATGATGACATTCCGAATAATGAAAATTCGGCATATTGAAAATTCGGAGTAATCGCACTTCAGTATAAGGATATAAGGAAACCGACATTATGGAATTGGGTATACTAAAGATTCGGTCGTATCAAAATTCAGGATTATGACGGTAGATCGGCGGAACGAATACTAACTGAAATCAACGATGACAAGATGCTGAGCACTAATTTGTAAGTCTCATTGGCGGTCTGGAGTGGGCAAGCTGTGGTTACTTGAGATACGGCCACTTCTGCCCCAGGGCCACCACCCAATTACCGTCTTTTCGGGCCCAAAATATGTTTCCCCCACGGGGAGGGGGGCTACAGGGATCACTTGCTGTATCAAAAGTGTTGTTTCCTTGAACCCGGCCTGATTCGGGCACTTGTTGCTGAGGTGTGAAAACAACTAAAAAACACGGCAGGGGGAATATCGTGCCCAATTTACAGGTTTGTTAGTCAAGTATAAGTATAAGGCTTAGGCTTAGGCACTTAGTATAAGTATAAAAGTCTTATTGTTGGTAATTTGGGATCACGACAATGCTCTGGTCAAAATTTGGGGCCGATTGGATGTAACACGGCGAAATGCCGGATGGTTCGTTTTTTTGGGACACCCTGTATATCGTCAAATCAAAATCACACGTTTTATATTGTGTTTAGTAAATCACAACAACGTTAAAGTCAGAACTGCCTTCCAATGATCCAAGAAAATCGATTAAAAGAAGATAAAAGTGAACAAGACGCGGTAAGACTTCTTGACCCTAAAAACCCCTCCCTCTGCCAAATTTAACGAAATAAACGCTAATTTAAACGTTCTACGAGCGAGAATCAATCCGGGCGAATTAGTAAGACACATTGCCGACCAACCCGCGCGTACGCGTGCGCGCGGAATGGTCGGAGCGTACACGCACATTCCCAATCTGCGTCGCCCGCGCACATTGCTTCCCAATCAGCGCGTCGGCGCCCATTGCTCCCGAATCCCAATCAGCGCGTCGGCGCACATTGCTCCCGAATCCCAATCTGCGCGTCGGCGCACATTGCTCCCGAATCCCAATCTGCGCGTCGGCGCACATTGCTCCCGAATCCCAATCGCGCGTCGGCGGGCACATTGCTCCCGAATCCCAATCTGCGCGTCGGCGCATCATTGCTCCCGAATCCCAATCAGCGCGTCGGCGCACATTGCTCCCGAATCCCAATCAGCGCGTCGGCGCACATTGCTCCCGAATCCCAATCAGCGCGTCGGCGCACATTGCTCCCGAATCCCAATCTGCGCGTCGGCGCACATTGCTCCCGAATCCCAATTCCGCGCGTCGGCGCACATTGCTCCCCGAATCCCATACATCTCGCGTCGGCGCACATTGTCCTTCCCAATCAGCACGTCGGCGCACATTGCTCCCGAATCCCAATCTGCGCGTCGGCGCACATTGCTCCCGAATCCCAATCAGCGCCTCGGCGCACATTGCTCCCGAATCCCAATCAGCGCGTCGGCGCACATTGCTCCCGAATCCCAATCAGCGCGTCGGCGCACATTGCTCCCGAATCCCAATCTGCGCGTCGGCGCACATTGCTTCCCAATCAGCGCGTCGGCGCACATTGCTCCCGAATCCCAATCTGCGCGTCGGCGCACATAGCTTCCCAATCCCAGCGGCGTCGGCGCACATTGCTCCCGAATCCCAATCTGCGCGTCGGCGCACATTGCTTCCCAATCAGCACGTCGGCGCACATTGCTCCCGAATCCCAATCTGCGCGTCGGCGCACATAGCTTCCCGAATCCCCCGCGCGCGTCGGCGCACATTGATCCCGAATCTCATACTGCGCGTCGGCGCACATTGCTCCCGAATCCCAATCCAGCGCGTCGGCGCACATTGCTCCTTAATCCCAATCAGCGCGTCGGCGCACATTGCTTCCCATCTGCGCGTCGGCGCACATTGCTCCCGAATCCCAATCTGCGCCTTCGGCGCACATGGCTGCTTCCCAATCCGCGCGTCGGCGCACCCATTGCTCCCGGAATCCCAATCTGCGCGTCGGCGCCCATTGCTTCCCAAGGTCCCAATCCGCGCACATTGCTCCCGAATCCCACCGCCTCGGCGCACATTGCTTCCCAATCAGCGCATCGGCGCACATTGCTCCCGAATCCCAATCTGCGCGGTCGGCGCACATTGCTCCCGAATCCCAATCTGCGCGTCGGCGCATCATTGCTCCCGAATCCCAATCTCGCGTCGGGCACATTGCTTCCCAATCAGCGCGTCGGGCGCACATTGCTCCCGAATCCCAATCTGCGCGTCGGCGCACATTGATCCCGAATACTCCCAATCAGCGCGTCGGCGCACATTGCTCCCGAATCCCAATCTGGCGCTCGGCGCACATTGCTTCCCAATCAGCGCATCGGCGCACACATTGCTCCCGAGTCCCAATCTGCGCGTAAGCGCACATTGCTCCCGAATCCCAATCAGCACGTCGGCGCACATTGCGCCGAATCCCAATCTGCGCGTCGGCGCACATTGCTTCCCAATCAGCGCATCGGCGCACATTGCTCCCGAATCCCAATGCGCCGGGCACACATTGCTCGTATCCCAATCTGCGCGTCGGCGCACATTGCCCCGATCCCAATCTGCGCGTCGGCGCACATTGCTCCCGAATCCCAATCTGCGCGTCGGCGCACATTGCTTCCCAATCAGCACGTCGGCGCACATTGCTCCCGAATCCCAATCTGCGCCCTCGGCGCACATTGCTCCAAATCCCAATCAGCGCATCGGCGCACATTGCTCCCGAATCCCAATCTGCGCCGTCGGCGCACATTGCTGTCCCAATCTGCGCGTCGGCGCACATTGCTCCCGAATCCCAATCTGCGCGTCGGCGCACATTGTTCCCGAATCCCAATCTGCGCGTCGGCGCACATTTGCTCCGAATCCCAATCTGTGCGTCGGCGCACATTGCTCCCGAATCCCAATCTGCGCGTCGGCGCACATTGCTCCCGAATCCCAATCTGCGCGTCGGCGCACATTGCTCCCGAATCCCAATCTGCGCGTCGGCGCACATTGCTTCCCAATCAGCACGTCGGCGCACATTGCTCCCGAATCCCAATCTGCGCGTCGGCGCACATTGCTCCCGAATCCCAATCTGCGCGTCGGCGCACATTGCTCCCGAATCCCAATCAGCGCGTCGGCGCACATTTTTCCCAATCCCAATCTGCGCGTCGGCGCACATTGCCCCGAATCCCAATCTGCGCGTCGGCGCACATTGCTCAATCCCAATCTGCGGCGTCGGCGCACATTGCTCCCGAATCCCAATCTGCGCGTCGGCGCACATTTGCTCCCGAATCCCAATCTGCGCGGGTCGGCGCACATTGCTCTGAATCCCGATCTGCGCGTCGGCGCACACTGCTCCCGAATCCCAATCTGCGCGTCGGCGCACATTGCTTCCCAATCAGCGCATCGGCGCACATTGCTCCCGAATCCCAATCAGCGCGTCGGCGCACATTGCTCCCGAATCCCAATCTGCGCGTCGGCGCACATTGCTCCCCATCCCAATCTGCGCGTCGGCGCACATTGCTCCCGAATCCCAATCTGCGCGTCGGCGCACATTGCTCCCGAATCGCAATCTGCGCGTCGGCGCACATTGCTCCCGAATCGCAATCTGCGCGTCGGCGCACATTGCTCCCGAATCCCAATCTGCGCGTCGGCGCACATTGCTCCCGAATCCCAATCTGCGCGTCGGCGCACATTGCTCCCGAATCCCAATCTGCGCCTCGGCGCACATTGCTCCCGAATCCCAATCTGCGCGTCGGCGCACATTGCTTCTCAATCAGCGCGTCGGCGCACATTGCTCGCGAATCCCAATCAGCGCGTCGGCGCACATTGATCCCGAATCCCAATCTGCGCGTCGGCGCACATTGCTCATCCCAATCTGCGCGTCGGCGCACATTGCTCCTGAATCCCAATCTGCGCGTCGGCGCACATTGCTCCCGAATCCCAATCTGCGCGTCGGCGCACATTGCTTCCCAATCAGCACGTCGGCGCACATTGCTCCCGAATCCCAATCTGCGCGTCGGCGCACATTGCTTCCCAATCAGCGCATCGGCGCACATTGCTCCCGAATCCCAATCAGCGCGTCGGCGCACATTGCTCCCGAATCCCAATCTGCGCGTCGGCGCACATTGCTTCCCAATCTGCGCGTCGGCGCACATTGCTCCCGAATCCCAATCCTGCGCGTCGGCGCACATTGCTCCCGAATCCCAATCTGCGCGTCGGCGCACATTGCTTCCCAATCAGCACGTCGGCGCCACATTGCTCCCGAATCCCAATCTGCGCGTCGGCGCACATTGCTTCCCAATCTGCGCGTCGGCGCACATTGCTCCCGAATCCCAATCTGCGCGTCGGCGCACATTGCTTCCCAATCTGCGCGTCGGCGCACATTGCTCCCGAATCCCAATCTGCGCCTCGGCGCACATTGCTTCCCAATCTGCGCGTCGGCGCACATTGCTCCCGAATCCCAATCTGCGCCTCGGCGCACATTGCTTCCCAATCTGCGCGTCGGCGCACATTGCTCCCGAATCCCAATCTGCGCGTCGGCGCACATTGCTCCCGAATCCCAATCTGCGCGTCGGCGCACATTGCTTCCCAATCAGCACGTCGGCGCACATTGCTCCCGAATCCCAATCTGCGCGTCGGCGCACATTGCTTCCCAATCAGCGCATCGGCGCACATTGCTCCCGAATCCCAATCTGCGCGTCGGCGCACATTGCTCCCGAATCCCAATCTGCGCGTCGGCGCACATTGCTCCCGAATCCCAATCTGCGCGTCGGCGCACATTGCTCCCGAATCCCAATCTGCGCCTCGGCGCACATTGCTTCCCAATCTGCGCGTCGGCGCACATTGCTCCCGAATCCCAATCTGCGCGTCGGCGCACATTGCTCCCGAATCCCAATCTGCGCGTCGGCGCACATTGCTCCCGAATCCCAATCTGCGCCTCGGCGCACATTGCTCCCAATCTGCGCGTCGGCGCACATTGCTCCCGAATCCCAATCTGCGCGTCGGCGCACATTGCTCCTGAATCCCAATCTGCGCGTCGGCGCACATTGCTCCCGAATCCCAATCTGCGCGTCGGCGCACATTGCTCCCGAATCCCAATCTGCGCGTCGGCGCACATTGCTTCCCAATCAGCACGTCGGCGCACATTGCTCCCGAATCCCAATCTGCGCGTCGGCGCACATTGCTCCCGAATCCCAATCTGCGCGTCGGCGCACATTGCTCCCGAATCCCAATCTGCGCGTCGGCGCACATTGCTTCCCAATCAGCACGTCGGCGCACATTGCTCCCGAATCCCAATCTGCGCGTCGGCGCACATTGCTCCCGAATCCCAATCTGCGCGTCGGCGCACATTGCTCCGAATCCCAATCTGCGCGTCGGCGCACATTGCTCCCGAATCCCAATCTGCGCCTCGGCGCACATTGCCTTCCCAATCTGCGCGTCGGCGCACATTGCTCCCGAATCCCAATCTGCGCCTCGGCGCACATTGCTTCCCAATCTGCGCGTCGGCGCACATTGCTCCCGAATCCCAATCTGCGCGTCGGCGCACATTGCTCCCGAATCCCAATCTGCGCGTCGGCGCACATTGCTCCCGAATCCCAATCTGCGCGTCGGCGCACATTGCTCCCGAATCCCAATCTGCGCGTCGGCGCACATTGCTCCCGAATCCCAATCTGCGCGTCGGCGCACATTGCTCCCGAATCCCAATCTGCGCGTCGGCGCACATTGCTCCCGAATCCCAATCTGCGCGTCGGCGCACATTGCTCCCGAATCCCAATCTGCGCGTCGGCGCACATTGCTCCCGAATCCCAATCTGCGCGTCGGCGCACATTGCTCCCGAATCCCAATCTGCGCGTCGGCGCACATTGCTTCCCAATCTGCGCGTCGGCGCACATTGCTCCCGAATCCCAATCTGCGCGTCGGCGCACATTGCTCCCGAATCCCAATCTGCGCGTCGGCGCACATTGCTCCCGAATCCCAATCTGCGCGTCGGCGCACATTGCTCCCGAATCCCAATCTGCGCCTCGGCGCACATTGCTTCCCAATCTGCGCGTCGGCGCACATTGCCCCGAATCCCAATCTGCGCCTCGGCGCACATTGCTTCCCAATCTGCGCGTCGGCGCACATTGCTCCCGAATCCCAATCTGCGCGTCGGCGCACATTGCTCCCGAATCCCAATCTGCGCGTCGGCGCACATTGCTTCCCAATCTGCGCGTCGGCGCACATTGCTCCCGAATCCCAATCTGCGCGTCGGCGCACATTGTCTCCGAATCGCAATCTGCGCGTCGGCGCACATTGCTCCCGAATCCCAATCTGCGCGTCGGCGCACATTGCTCCCGAATCCCAATCTGCGCGTCGGCGCACATTGCTCCCGAATCCCAATCTGCGCCTCGGCGCACATTGCTTCCCAATCTGCGCGTCGGCGCACATTGCTCCCGAATCCCAATCTGCGCGTCGGCGCACATTGCTCCCGAATCCCAATCTGCGCGTCGGCGCACATTGCTTCCCCAATCAGCACGTCGGCGCACATTGCTCCCGAATCCCAATCTGCGCGTCGGCGCACATTGCTCCCGAATCCCAATCTGCGCGTCGGCGCACATTGCTCCCGAATCCCAATCTGCGCGTCGGCGCACATTGCTCCCGAATCCCAATCTGCGCGTCGGCGCACATTGCTCCCGAATCGCAATCTGCGCGTCGGCGCACATTGCTCCCGAATCCCAATCTGCGCGTCGGCGCACATTGCTCCCGAATCCCAATCTGCGCGTCGGCGCACATTGCTCCCGAATCCCAATCTGCGCCTCGGCGCACATTGCTTCCCAATCTGCGCGTCGGCGCACATTGCTCCCGAATCCCAATCTGGGCGTCGGCGCACATTGCTCCCGAATCCCAATCTGCGCGTCGGCGCACATTGCTCCCAATCAGCACGTCGGCGCACATTGCTCCCGAATCCCAATCTGCGCGTCGGCGCACATTGCTCCCGAATCCCAATCTGCGCGTCGGCGCACATTGCTCCCGAATCCCAATCTGCGCGTCGGCGCACATTGCTCCCGAATCCCAATCTGCGCCTCGGCGCACATTGCTTCCCAATCTGCGCGTCGGCGCACATTGCTCCCGAATCCCAATCTGCGCCTCGGCGCACATTGCTTTCCCAATCTGCGCGTCGGCGCACATTGCTTCCCGAATCCCAATCTGCGCGTCGGCGCACATTGCTCCCGAATCCCAATCTGCGCGTCGGCGCACATTGCTTCCCAATCAGCACGTCGGCGCACATTGCTCCCGAATCCCAATCTGCGCGTCGGCGCACATTGCTCCCGAATCCCAATCTGCGCGTCGGCGCACATTGCTCCCGAATCCCAATCTGCGCGTCGGCGCACATTGCTCCCGAATCCCAATCTGCGCGTCGGCGCACATTGCTCCCGAATCCCAAATCTGCGCGTCGGCGCACATTGCTCCCGAATCCCAATCTGCGCGTCGGCGCACATTGCTCCCGAATCCCAATCTGCGCGTCGGCGCACATTGCTCCCGAATCCCAATCTGCGCCTCGGCGCACATTGCTTCCCAATCTGCGCGTCGGCGCACATTGCTCCCGAATCCCAATCTGCGCGTCGGCGCACATTGCTCCCGAATCCCAATCTGCGCGTCGGCGCACATTGCTTCCCAATCAGCACGTCGGCGCACATTCCCGAATCCCAATCTGCGCGTCGGCGCACATTGCTCCCGAATCCCAATCTGCGCGTCGGCGCACATTGCTCCCGAATCCCAATCTGCGCGTCGGCGCACATTGCTCCCGAATCCCAATCTGCGCGTCGGCGCACATTGCTCCCGAATCGCAATCTGCGCGTCGGCGCACATTGCTCCCGAATCCCAATCTGCGCGTCGGCGCACATTGCTCCCGAATCCCAATCTGCGCGTCGGCGCACATTGCTCCCGAATCCCAATCTGCGCCTCGGCGCACATTGCTTCCCAATCTGCGCGTCGGCGCACATTGCTCCCGAATCCCAATCTGCGCGTCGGCGCACATTGCTCCCGAATCCCAATCTGCGCGTCGGCGCACATTGCTTCCCCAATCAGCACGTCGGCGCACATTGCTCCCGAATCCCAATCTGCGCGTCGGCGCACATTGCTCCCGAATCCCAATCTGCGCGTCGGCGCACATTTCTCCCGAATCCCAATCTGCGCGTCGGCGCACATTGCTCCCGAATCCCAATCTGCGCCTCGGCGCACATTGCTCTCCCAATCTGCGCGTCGGCGCACATTGCTCCCGAATCCCAATCTGCGCCTCGGCGCACATTGCTTCCAATCTGCGCGTCGGCGCACATTGCTCCTGAATCCCAATCTGCGCGTCGGCGCACATTGCTCCTGAATCCCAATCTGCGCGTCGGCGCACATTGCTTCCCAATCAGCACGTCGGCGCACATTGCTCCCGAATCCCAATCCGCGCGTCGGCGCACATTGCTCCCGGAATCCCAATCTGCGCGTCGGCGCACATTGCTCCCGAATCCCAATCTGCGCGTCGGCGCACATTGCTCCCGAATCCCAATCTGCGCGTCGGCGCACATTGCTCCCGAATCCCACAATCTGCGCGTCGGCGCACATTGCTTCCCAATCTGCGCGTCGGCGCACATTGCCCCGAATCCCAATCTGCGCGTCGGCGCACATTGCTCCTGAATCCCAAGCTGCGCGTCGGCGCACATTGCTCCCGAATCCCAATCTGCGCGTCGGCGCACATTGCTCCCGAATCCCAATCTGCGCGTCGGCGCACATACCTCCCGAATCCCAATCTGCGCGTCGGCGCACATTAAGCTCCCGAATCCCAATCTGCGCGTCGGCGCACATTGTTCCCGAATCGCAATCTGCGCGTCGGCGCACATTGCTCCTGAATCCCAATCTGCGCGTCGGCGCACATTGCCTCCCGAATCGCAATCTGCGCGTCGGCGCACATTGCTCCCGAATCCCAATCTGCGCGTCGGCGCACATTGCTCCCGAATCCCAACCTGCGCGTCGGCGCACATTGCTCCCGAATCCCAATCTGCGCCTCGGCGCACATTGCTTCCCAATCTGCGCGTCGGCGCACATTGCTCCTGAATCCCAATCTGCGCGTCGGCGCACATTGCTCCCGAATCCCAATCTGCGCGTCGGCGCACATTGCTTCCCAATCAGCACGTCGGCGCACATTGCTCCCGAATCCCAATCTGCGCGTCGGCGCACATTGCTCCCGAATCCCAATCTGCGCGTCGGCGCACATTGCTCCCGAATCCCAATCTGCGCGTCGGCGCACATTGCTCCCGAATCCCAATCTGCGCGTCGGCGCACATTGCTCCCGAATCCCAATCTGCGCGTCGGCGCACATTGCTCCCGAATCCCAATCTGTGCGTCGGCGCACATTGCTCCCGAATCCCAATCTGCGCGTCGGCGCACATTGCTCCCGAATCCCAATCTGCGCGTCGGCGCACATTGCTCCCGAATCCCAATCTGCGCGTCGGCGCACATTGCTTCCCAATCAGCACGTCGGCGCACATTGCTCCCGAATCCCAATCTGCGCGTCGGCGCACATTGCTCCCGAATCCCAATCTGCGCGTCGGCGCACATTGCTCCCGGAATCCCAATCTGCGCGTCGGCGCACATTGCTCCCGAATCCCAATCTGCGCGTCGGCGCACATTGCTCCCGAATCCCAATCTGCGCGTCGGCGCACATTGCTTCCCAATCAGCGCATCGGCGCACATTGCTCCCGAATCCCAATCTGCGCCTCGGCGCACATTGCTTCCCAATCTGCGCGTCGGCGCACATTGCTCCCGAATCCCAATCTGCGCGTCGGCGCACATTGCTCCCGAATCCCAATCTGCGCGTCGGCGCACATTGCTCCCGAATCCCAATCTCGCGCGTCGGCGCACATTGCTTCCCAATCAGCGCATCGGCGCACATTGCTCCCGAATCCCAATCTGCGCCTCGGCGCACATTGCTTCCAATCTGCGCGTCGGCGCACATTGCTCCCGAATCCCAATCTGCGCGTCGGCGCACATTGCTCCCGAATCCCAATCTGCGCGTCGGCGCACATTGCTTCCCAATCAGCACGTCGGCGCACATTGCTCCCGAATCCCAATCTGCGCCTCGGCGCACATTGCTTCCCAATCAGCGCATCGGCGCACATTGCTCCCGAATCCCAATCTGCGCCTCGGCGCACATTGTCTTCCCAATCTGCGCGTCGGCGCACATTGCTCCCGAATCCCAATCTGCGCGTCGGCGCAACATTGCTCCCGAATCCCAATCTGCGCGTCGGCGCACATTGCTTCCCAATCAGCACGTCGGCGCACATTGCTCCCGAATCCCAATCTGCGCGTCGGCGCACATTGCTCCCGAATCCCAATCTGCGCGTCGGCGCACATTGCTCCCGAATCCCAATCTGCGCGTCGGCGCACATTGCTCCCGAATCCCAATCTGCGCGTCGGCGCACATTGCTCCCGAATCCCAATCTGCGCGTCGGCGCACATTGCTCCCGAATCCCAATCTGCGCGTCGGCGCACATTGCTCCCGAATCCCAATCTGCGCGTCGGCGCACATTGCTCCCGAATCCCAATCTGCGCGTCGGCGCACATTGCTCCCGAATCCCAATCTGCGCGTCGGCGCACATTGCTCCCGAATCCCAATCCCCGCGTCGGCGCACATTGCTCCCGAATCCCAATCTGCGCGTCGGCGCTATTGCTCCCGAATCCCAATCTGCGCGTCGGCGCACATTGCTCCCGAATCCCAATCTGCGCGTCGGCGCACATTGCTCCCGAATCCCAATCTGCGCGTCGGCGCACGATTGCTCCCGAATCCCAATCTGCGCGTCGGCGCACATTGCTCCCGAATCCCAATCTGCGCGTCGGCGCACATTGCTCCCGAATCCCAATCTGCGCGTCGGCGCACATTGCTCCCGAATCCCAATCTGCGCGTCGGCGCACATTGCTCCCGAATCCCAATCTGCGCGTCGGCGCACATTGCTCCCGAATCCCAATCTGCGCGTCGGCGCATATTGCTCCCGAATCCCAATCTGCGCGTCGGCGCACATTGCTCCCGAATCCCAATCTGCGCGTCGGCGCACATTGCTCCCGGAATCCCAATCTGCGCGTCGGCGCACATTGCTCCCGAATCCCAATCTGCGCGTCGGCGGACATTGCTCCTGAATCCCAATCTGCGCGTCGGCGCCATAAGCTCCCGAATCCCAATCTGCGCGTCGGCGCACATTGCCTCCCGAATCCCAATCTGCGCGTCGGCGCACATTGCTCCCGAATCCCAATCTCGCGTCGGCGCACGATTGCCCCCGAATCCCAATCTGCGCGTCGGCGGGCATTGCTCCCGAATCCCAACTGCGCGTCGGGCGCACATTGCTCCCGAATCCCAATCTGCGCGTCGGCGCATATTGCTCCCGAATCCCAATCTGCGCGTCGGCGCACATTGCTCCCGAATCCCACTCTGCGCGTCGGCGCACATTGCTCCCGAATCCCAATCTGCGCGTCGGCGCACATTGCTCCCGAATCCCAATCTGCGCGTCGGCGCACATTGCTCCCGAATCCCAATCTGCGCGTCGGCGCACATTGCTCCCGGAATCCCAATCTGCGCGTCGGCGACATTGCTCCTGATCCCAATCTGCGCGTCGGCGCACATTGCTCCCGAATCCCAATCTGCGCGTCGGCGCATATTGCTCCCGAATCCCAACCTGCGCGTCGGCGCACATTGCTCCCGAATCCCAATCTGCGCGTCCGGCGCACATTGCTCCCGAATCCCAATCTGCGCGTCGGCGCACATTCCTCCCGAATCCCAATCTGCGCGTCGGCGCACATTGCTCCCGAATCCCAATCTGCGCGTCGGCGCACATTGCTCCCGAATCCCAATCTGCGCGTCGGCGCACATTGCTCCCGAGATCCCAATCTGCGCGTCGGCGCACATTGCTCCCGAATCCCAATCTGCGCGTCGGCGCACATTTCTCCCGAATCCCAATCTGCGCGTCGGCGCACATTGCTCCCGAATCCCAATCTGCGCGTCGGCGCACATTGCTCCCGAATCCCAATCTGCGCGTCGGCGCACATTGCTCCCGAATCCCAATCTGCGCGTCGGCGCACATTGCTCCCGAATCCCAATCTGCGCGTCGGCGCACATTGCTCCCGAATCCCAATCTGCGCGTCGGCGCACATTGCCCCCGAATCCCAATCCGCGCGTCGCGCACATTGCTCCCGAATCCCAATCTGCGCGTCGGCGCACATTGCTCCCGAATCCCAATCTGCGCGTCGGCGCACATTGCTCTTCGAATCCCAATCTGCGCGTCGGCGACATTGCTCCTGAATCCCAATCTGCGCGTCGGCGCACATTGCTCCCGAATCCCAATCTGCGCGTCGGCGCACATTGCTCCCGAATCCCAATCTGCGCGTCGGCGCACATTGCTCCCGAATCCCAATCTGCGCGTCGGCGCACATTGCTCCCGAATCCCAATCTGCGCGTCGGCGCACATTGCTCCCGAATCCCAATCTGCGCGTCGGCGCACATTGCTCCCGAATCGCAATCTGCGCGTCGGCGCACATTGCTACCGCAGCCGCGAAGCGTATTTTCGACCCAGGTTTTTGAAAAAATCCGAAAAATTATTTATTGAGCGACAAGTACAGATAAGAGCGACTAATGGACT